TGAGAAAATTCGCAAATCTGGACTTTCAATCAAGACATTTTTGACAGTCTGGACATTTTTGTCCAGAAGGATCTTCTTTATTGAAAACATTTGTTTTAATATTGGATTTGAACGGTAAAAGGGTTTGTAATACATACCAGCTGACAAATGGATTTCGTGTACAAGTAAAGGTAAGACCATAAACTTTTATTATTTCTAGTTAGAAATAAGCTAAACCGGAATAAATTTTAACCTCAAATTAAATATGGGTCACGTTTGTGTGAAGAATGCTGATATGAGATATAAAACATAACGCATTGTCTGTTAACAGACAATTTGTTAACGGTTCATTTGTTTTTGTAAATCTGACTGTAAAAGAGTCATTGCCTCACCAGCTGTCAACCTCACCGCACGTCACTGGCCTTAGCATGATCAGTAAAAATAAAAGCTTCAAATTCTACATCACCTATATCATAAGCAAAAAACAGTAAAGGAGTACACAGAATAGAGCTGAAACCTTCAGTTCATTAATTCATTTTTCAATTAACAGAAAACTATTTTGGCAAACAATAAATCAAGCAGATTTAAGCCTGTCTTTTCATATATATCAGGAAACTGTTACTGCTTGTTTTGTTGAAGCAACAGTTGTTTGAACAGTTGCCTTGGGTTCTGACATGATCTAATGTTTGAATTTTCAAAATGATTCATTTATAAAATAACTGGCACGCTGATCGATAATGAAATAATTATTAGTTGCAGCCCTAGCACAGAGAGACACAGCTGTCTGACAAGAGTCGAGACAGTTGAGTCAGTACCAGGCGATGGAAAAGGGGCAAAACATTACTCACTGTCACCAGAAGGTTTACTATGGCAACATAACCGCTAGGTAAAGACAGAGAAATTGTAAAGGAGATTTTATAATGTGGCGACATAGTCCTCATGGCACATCTAACCACTTCATGTCATTGTGAACTCTGTGGTGTCTGTCAGACAGGGTTTAATCCCATCTCAGGAGAATGAATCAACGAAAGTGGGCAACTGGGAGGCTGCTTGCCTCAGGGAATGACATTTCAGCCCTGCCCCTGCCACCGCCAGCTCTTTGACTGGACAAAGTCACAGCACTAGCTTCTTTAATGGAATGATTTAACATGAGAGCTGGTGTGAGGGCAAGATGCAGAAGGGCTAACAAAATCAAAGACAACTCTGTGGGGTTCTGCTTAACCTGCAGCACTGGGGAGGGACCCTATCCCACATTAACCAAAAAATACAATAATACTTCATATTCAAAATGTTGTGGAGTGAATCAGGGCAACAACATCACTATTGCCACATATTTACAACTCATAGTTAAACATTTGTTATTGTCACTGAAAGTTTTTTTGGCACCAAAATGTTGACATTCAAGAAAACATGGAAAAAGAGAAACAACTGGAAGAATTAGTACTTATTATTAAATAGTAATTGCTATTACTAGACTGCAGCTGAAAACAACCAAACCACCATGTTTCGTTGAGCTGCTTTGCCAATTGTAGAGTTGTTTGTCTGACAGAGAGACATCAAAAACATTTCAAAATGTCTCTGCAATATGTGTCAATGAGCTAAGAAAAAGCATCACTGTGGCTGCAGTTTACCATCTTTTCTAGCATATGAGATATGAAGAGCTGTGCAGGAAGAAATAGAAAGCAGTCATGTGAAAACTTACCAAACGCTCTGACATCGGTGTTTTGTCTAAGGCTGGAAGGTGTTGTTCCAAAGCCAGCACAATGCAGTTTGCTATGATGGTGGCCAGGATCATGTACTCAAATGGAGTAAAGAGTATTAAGGAACTCACAGGGTACTAAACATACAAGCACAAACTGCACCATGAAGCCAACACATACAAACAGAGAACATGAAAAACACTGAAAAGCAAAAACATGTTCAAGTCTTAAGAACTTCTACTGGGATAAACCTGCATCTGATTTGTTGCTTGGTGTTTGTTTGGTGCTGTAGCTTTCTTACAAACAATTAGTGACGTGTAAGTCGCTGTAGTAGTTTACAGTCACAGTTTGATTGATGTCCGGTTGCGCACATGATCTACAACTGTAAATATGTTCATTTCTGTATACAGTAAGGAGTGGTAAAGACTGGAAGTGTCAGATTCTAGTCAAAAACTAAGCAGCAGAGGTTATGATATCCTGACTTTTAGTGACTGGTGTGGGTCAAACAGAAACACAAGATCCTACATTTCCATAGCACAACTCAGTAGCATCTTTCATTCAACATCCACCCACACAAGGACTCAGCCTGCCTCTGTGATGCTGACTTCTTTCAAAACCCAGAGCCTCACTGTATAGAATTCCTGTTACATTTTTAAGTCAAATGTTGATGCTATCAACAGGGTTTTTTTCCAGACTATGCAAAGTTCCCTCCACACACACACACACACACACACATCAATATAAAACTACTTTCACATGCTAAGTAGTATGTCTGAAGATTTTGTGGAGTGTCCCTTTAACCCCAGTGTCCACAAACAAGTTATTTGACTATTTGTATTTAGCCTCCAGTGCACTCCTCAGTACACAGACATTCACACATCTTCTCTTTTCCTGTCAGACAAAAATACATTAATCATCATTCTGCCACAGTCAAAGGTCTATTGGAACCCTCATCACGATGCCACACTTCAGCTGCACTAAGTGGAGAGTTTCTGCTTATTTCAGGAAATTATACTCAGATTTGTACAGGTTATTGGGTATCTCTCCTCCCTGCAGTGCACTGCTGGAGTGTCATTACAGCTACCACTCCAACATTCCCTCAGGACTATTCCAGCTCCACATCCTCTGGAGAGGAACAGGGAGTCGGCCACTGGGCCTCCAGCTGTTCGGGGCCACATTGGCTCATCCTGCAGCATTGCCATAATTGCTCTACATCAGGATAAAGGGCTCAATAATACACTGCGACATCAAAGCATGATAAATCTTTGCTCAGCACCAGGGGTAACCAACCAGTGATTTAAGTAATGGAGGCTGTTACACAACTTCATGTAAATTAATTGCAAGACCTTTAACCATCACTAACATATTAGATGGTTTACCACTGACTATACCTTTAAAAGTACCCAAATCTACACCAGTGAGATTATTTTCTTGGTGAGTGAATATACGAAACTCAACAGGTGGCATCCAGGCTCACATAATCAATCATTCACTGCAAACTCTATCAATTAAAAATGCACCAGCAGCTATTTTGAAACCTGCATCCTGCAGCATTTTACTGCCAAGGCTTGTTTGTTTGGTGTCACACCCATGCAGGCTGCCACCGCCTTGATGCTGAGGCCAGCCTGCTGTTTGCTGGGTGTTCAGCACCCTGGACAGCACTATCTGCACACTGCAGCCGTCACAGCGGAATGTGAGACAAGGCTGTTATCATAAAGCCTATAAATCTTCCTTGCCTTGATGTGTTCTATATCCTCACCTAACTCATGAATTCAGTCTTAGGACAGAATGCACAATGACTGTTTTGACCAAGAGTTTCTCTCCATCTGCCCAAAACAGCAACAGATTTCTTCCTGGAGCTCTAATTCCTTTTCAAGTGAGAGTCTAAGAAAATAAGATACCTTGACAGAGAAGACCTGGTGTAAAACAAATGTAAGAAGTTCAGTAAAACACCAGTCAAAACATCAAGCAACATGTTATGCACGCAGCCTTCCCAAAGGCTCTACCTTTTGTTTGTTACCAGTTCTAAAAACTGAGACCAAATACGTGGGGCAAATGACAACTCCTCTAGAAATGTGCCTTTTTAAGACTCGCTTGCTTGTTAACAGTAAAAACCAACACACATGAAAAATGGTATTAAACCCTTTTTTGAAATAAGACCTGACAGGATATTTATGCTACAAAAAATCGACTGAGGAGCTCCCAGTTGTGATAAGCTGCCGCCCTTCCCTACTAGTTAAGGCGGAGGAAACAGGAAACCTAACTGTGGAGTTTGTCCATTTTAATGATATAATTTTTAGTGATATATTTTTTGTATCCTGTATATATGTAGAATTAAAAGGTGCAAAGTTACATTTTCGGTTAGATACATTGTATCATATCATGGATAGGCTATATATCCTGTGCATGGAGACTTAAATGGACATAAGTGTCGGCGGAGTTTGGCGTGGTGATGTCGGTACGGGACAGAACTGCATGTCTGAGGGTATAGGACAGGACAGTAAGGATATGGCCATTCGGTGATCTTTTTGGCATATTTCCGTATGACATTATCCTCACTGAAGATGAACAGGGAGCGGTTAACGGTGAGGCAGTTTTGTTTGACCGGAATGGGGTTGTAAATAGCCATGGTCCTAGCTCTCTGGGCCATCGTCTGCTTGTACATCCTCTGCACCCCCGGAGGGCCCGGCTGCCGGCTGGCCCCTCTGGCCGGGCCCGTGGGACAGCTGCCTCCATAGCGGCTGGACAGTTCGTCTTCAAAACGAGGCATTCTGGGATAGCACAGATCTCGCTGGAGAAACCAAAACTGACACCAGAAAAGAAATGGAGAAGAAGCATCACAACACACACTGTCGTCCCGTCCTCCAGGTCCTTTAGGTGAGTGTGTCGTCCACAAACAGAAGAGTCAAACATTCACAACAAAACAGGGAGAGTGAGGCTATGTTTCATCAGCAGCAGTCTGTTATCTCCTCGTCCTTGCTGCTTCCCACGCTGTCATTTTCCCCGACACGGAATTGTTGCTCGAAGTTTAGATGATCAGACTCCATGATGCATCATTTTTCAGAGGTGTTCTTCCTCCGGCTGACTGCCCCGGTCCTCGGAGGGAACAGAAATATTCTGGCGTCAACGCTACAAGTCCATGCCACTGAATGCGCCTTCTACTAAAATCCTTGTTTAAAAGAAATAAAGAGGGGGAAAAAATCAGTTTAACACAAAAATATATCGTGAACAGTCACAATGTGGAGTCAAGATACTTCCTCCAGAAAACGTCCGCAAACAACATCATTTCTGTTCCTTAAAAATTCGTTTCCATTGTGAGTTCAACGCTGAATGATTGTACTTTGAACCGCCTCGCCCCACGGCTCGGGTGACAAAATCACGCCACCTTCAATTTAATCGTAAGTCGACGAGAAATCACGGTTGAGCAGGTTGTTTCCGTGAACTCGTTGAGTGCATGCAGAATCACCACTGCTTCTCAGCCACAGACCCACGTGACCGAGAAGACGCCAGCCAGTGGCCCCACCTGGTCCGGCCCTGTTCCCATAGCAACAGGGAGGAGAGGGAGAGCGCGAGCCAGAAGTTATACGCAATAAATACACTTCCGTAAGTATTTCCAAAATACATCCATGCTAACGAAGCTCCCTAATAGTTAAAACTGGGAAAGTGCGTATACTGAATCAAAAGGTATGGATATGTTGATAGAACAAAGGAACTGCAATATAACCTAGTGTATATCGGGTGGGTGCCCAGCGTACAGTAAACACTAATGTTAACACAAAATAAAAATAAGTAATCCACTTAATGAATAATGTGTTACATTTTGAACCATACAATACAATGAAATATTTGTATTAATTACAAGTTAAGATAGGCTATACAATTACAACAGGCATGTTATTTTGAGATGTTTCGAGTTACAGGTTACAATCAAATCCAACAAATGTAATGTAAATATCAATGTAGCTAAATGCAAAGGGACAGGAGCCTCATCCTTACCAAAAATAAAAATTAACATAAACTACAGACATACATCTTATTTTTTGACATAAAAGTTACAAAACTGATATTGTATCTATGTATTCTTTGAAAATATGACTATGTGGTTGGGTTAATCTGAAACTAGGTAGTGTAACATTTCAAACTATCAACACCATTAAAAGTATGTTTCTGGTTTGTGTAATCAATGTATCTTGTGCTCAGTGCATCATGCCTGTGACCTCGTGATGCATTTTGACAGTCAGGTCACTGTTGTGAATTCATATTCAAGCACTTTGTATTTGCAATTTCTTGAAGTTGTAACTTTTTAAAGCATATTCTCAAAGACAAAATAAACACAACATATTTTATATATGACTTGACTTATACAAGAGTTTATAAAAACACATTTTTGTGTACAACTTAAATTTTATCCATAACCATAAAATAATACACATGCATATTATTGCAAGCTGTCTTACCTCATAGTATTCTAGCACACAAGGGTATTTCCCTTCCCTCAAAATGGCAATGACAAAGTATGGTTTTTTAAATTTGGAACACCAACTGTGAGCCAGGCCTTCTCACCAAACATCAGCATTAGATCTCACTAATGCTCTTGTGTCTGAATGGCTATGCAAAGAAAGAAGCTCTACCTCTACTTTCTCTTGTCAACTAATGTTCACCAGTAAAAAACTACACAAAGAGATGTTTTAAAAAGTATTTAATTGCTAATTAGACATGTAGTAAAAAACATTTTCACAGAAAAGATCAAACTACCAGAAACTACTTTATCTCACTAATTCACAAATATAATAATTTGCAGTATTAAAAGAAGAAGTTATGTATGTTAAAATCATCTGTTAGAATTTTTATAAAATTGTTGTCTCTTTAAAGCTAGTTGCACTGACTCTCACATGGTTTTTCTGGCTGGTTGCAAGCTACAGTGTTCTTCATAGATATAGAAAAGTTAGCCTTCTTAGGTGTAAAATAAGTTACGCCCTGTATTCTGGGATGACAGATTTTAATAGTGTTTATCTTTCATTTGCTGCAATAAACTATGAATGTGAATACCAGAAAATCCCCTTGCATTTACCTAAACAAAGAATCACTTACATGGCATCTGGCTCAGAATACACTGCTTCTGATATTAGAGAGGGAAAACCAAGAGAATGTGTCCAGGCAGAGAGGGGGATCAGTTGTCATCAGTGAGTTTCTATCTACTAGCAGCTGAGAAGCGACACTTGAGAGAACCACACTGGCAGCTGAAGTACTTGCTCTTCACCCTCCAGTAGTGATCGCCATAGTCAAACCTGGTGAGGAAGAGACCCCAGTCTATCATATTATCTAATTTTATAACAATTTTAATTTAAACTTCTCTACTGAACATGGCTGAGGTTGTTTTTCCACCACTCACCCTATCTGGTCTCCAGCTTTGATGGGCCTACTGGAGAAGAAGGATATCCTAGGGAAGCGGAGATCCTGGTGCATGGTGAACACCTTCACAGCCAGCAGGTTGGGCTCACACAGATGGTTAATGAAGCGGCCGATGTTGCCAAAGAGTCTCGCATCAATACAGTGTACATCTCCTACCTGCAAAAGATGATGACCATAAACAGTCAGAGTCAGATGTTCTCTCTGGCTTCCCTTACCTATTGAGATATTGATAAAACATGACAGGAACCACAAGTGCAATATAAGCTAGTGCACAGTATATCAGGGGAGTGCCCATTGTCTACTAAACATTAATGCTAGGTAGGATGTTTGTCAAAAATTAAAAAGTAAAAACAAGTAAACATTTGTTAAAATAATTCTTGTTGGAAATGTTAAATCCTTTTAGTGACAATAGCTGATTAGAATTGGCATACAATTACAACATAAGTCTATTGTAATGTTACAAGTTATAGGGTAAAATCAAATCAAACAAATGTAATATAGATTTCAATAATGTAAACATACCTAGGGACAGTAAAAAGCCCACATTACCTTTATTTAATTATTCTGAAACAAATTTCAGATATATATTTATGTTTTGACATAAAAAGAAACCATTACAAAACTGAGGAATTCAAAATTTTGTCAGTGATTTTGAGTTAGGACTTTTGTTTTCTCTGGAAAGATGATGACTGGTTGAGTTAAAGTGAATCTGTAAATTCATCTAAAAATAAGTGTAAGTGTAACATTTAAAAACTTAAAGCCAAGTAAAAGTATGTCTTTTGTATTTCATGAATCAATGGCTGATTGGTGCAGCTAAAATAAAGACATTTGGTCTGTGGTTGTGTGAAATCTCTATAATGAAAGAGCAGTGCAGACATAAGGGTCTGCATTTGTATTTGCCAATCTAATGTTTCTGCAAAAATAAGTAGTAAAGCAGGATGTTCCTTTAACTTCCAGTGAGTGCAACCATATTAGTTGTATTACTAAGACTTGTCCTGATTCCCTTCCTGATTTGTAGCCTCTGCAGTAGTTTTCATCCGGGTGAAGGCTCATCTGAGCAGGGAGGATGGGAACAATGGGAAAAACGTAGAGCAATTATGCAGACTTCTTTTGTCCCCAGCAGAGCATGTGAGCAGACTTTTTTGTGTTATATTCCTTGTTACACAGGCCTAACTGTAATTTGAAATAAATCATTTCTACAATATATTGAAAAAAGTTGTCATTGTTCTTTAGTTCTTTGAGATGTAAGGCTGCGGTTTAAGCTAAAAGTGAAAAGCATGCAGATTATTTCCATTTTTTGGAGCTGGTGGGTGTGATTTGAGAGGAGTGGGCTGCAGTCTGGTGAACAACTCCAAAAGCAAGGAGCGGAAATTCCCACCGCTCCACTCTACTCATATGCTCTGGTCCCCATTATTGTTGCTGGCTGATGAAATGTTTCTAACTTCCAATAGTGGAGCCTACCATAGACAGTTTCAGAACCACTGACCTAATGCATGTTGCATTGTAATGCATCCTCACACTTCCCTGAATGGGAATAAAGAGGCAGAATGAAGAAATAAACTGTTTGGGTTTTAACAGTTTTCTTCAAGATGCTTCAAAAGCTATTGAGGAGTCAAACCTGAGATATGATTCAGGCTAGTGCAGCTTCCTATAATCAACAAACTTGTCATCAGAAGACCCACTACAGTCTGTAAAACCATGAAGAAAGCTGCTGACAGGAAGGGAGACTGCATCACATACTGATCAGTGGGTGGATGAGCAACTCTGCAGCTCCACCTCTTGACCTAACATGACAGTACATGCACTCTGGGTGAATGGAGATCCCAATACATGTTTATACATATTAGATGTTTGAGTTAACCTAGTTTTTGTTACATGCTTACCATCTATGGATGAGCGTGTTCTGTGTTTGTTACATTTATATAGTATGGCTCCGTGTACTGGCTTGCTCTCTATCTGTTTTCTCTTGCCTCTGAAGGCATGATGTGAATAAAGAAAAGCATCACACAATTTTGGCCTGTTACTATGCTGCACTGAGCCATAATTAAAGAGAAACAGCTCAACTGCATTCTGACTTACGAACATAACAATGATTCACCCTGTGTAGGAAATCACTCCTATCTGGCCAACAAATCTTAAAGCACTCAAATCTACATTTAGGACTGGTAATAAAAGTGTTTACCAAGTATTTTGTCAGCCGATTAGAAAATTATTCTTCTCTGAGGTCCAGCCGACCTGAGCACCAATCAGTCAGCAGTTGTCAGAAGCTGATGTGTGATGACACTGAGCTGATTCAAAGATCACTGACAAGTTATTTTTGTGCCTCAAGTTGTATGGGTACAGTTTGTGCCTATGATTTTTTGTAAAGGGAAAATATAGCTTTGCAACAGTGATGACTGTGTTACAACCAACTTTTTTCATAGTCCAAAGCTGCTTTCACAGCAGCTCAGCAAGATCATATGTATCAGGATCCTCTGTGAGAGTGGATGAAAACATTTATATTGAACATAGTCACAGTATATCTGCTTGGCTGGATGTGATCTGCTTAATTCTCATGACCAGTGCACACAAGGTTTTCAGTATTAATGCTGCATGTGCAGTACTGCACAATCCATGTGTCCAGTGTGACACAGACAGTACAGATATTGCAAAATGATGTGGTTTGATAGGCCTAAGAGGATAAATTCATTCATTCTAATTTCTAATGATTGTGCTACTATCTACAGTCATGGCCAAAAATATTGGCTCTCCTGCATTCTGTAAGATAACACACAGCTTTTCTCAGAAAATGGCTGCAATTACAAAGTTTTTGGTATTCTCATGTTTCTTTTGTTTGCATTGGAACAACACAAAAAAGCCAAATCTGATCCATTCCACAAAGAAATCCAAACATAGACTGGACAGAATTATTGACACCCTCAACTTAATACTTGGTAGCACACCCTCTGGACAAAATAACTGAAATCAATCTCTTCCTGTAACCACCAGTGAGTTTCTTCCATGTCTCTACTGGAATTCTGGACCACTCTTCTTTTGCCAACTGCTTCAGTTCTCTCAGATTTGAAGGCTTCCTTCTCTCAGTTGCTGTTATGAGATCTCTCCACAGGAACTCTGGGATTTAGATCTGGACTCACTGCTGGTCACTTCAGAACTCTCCAGCTCTTTGTCTGAAACCATTTCTCGTGCTTTTTGAAATCTGCTTTGGGTCATTGTCCTGCTGTAAGACCCATGACCTCTGATGGAGACCCAGCTTTCTGACACTGGGCCCTATATTGTGTCCCAGAATTCACTGGTAGTCTTCAGGTTTCATAATGTCATACACACAGTCAAGACATCCAGAGCCTGAAGCAGCAAAACAACCCTAAAACATCAGTGAACCTCGACCGTGTTTGACTGTAGGGACCGTGTTCTTTTCTTTGAAGGCCTCATTTTCTGAAAACAGTCGAATGATGTGCTCGACCAAAAAAGCTCTGCTTTAGTCTCATCTGTCCACAGGACATTCTCCCAGAAGGACTGTGGCTTCCTCAGGTAAGTTTTAACAAACTCCACTCTGGCTTTTTTATGTTCCTGTGTCAGCAGTGGGGGCCCCTGGGTCTCCGACCATAGTGTGCCTTGTCATTCAGATGGTGACAGATAGTGCGAGCTGACACTGTTGCACCCTGCAATCTGTTTTTCTCTTTCATCCACATCCAGGGAGATTAGCTACAGAGCCATGGGCTGTAAACTTCTTGACAGTGGTGCACACAGTGGACACAGGAACAGCCAGATCTCTGGAGATGGACTTAGAGCCTTCAGACTGTCCAGGCTTTTCCACTATTGTGCTTCTCAAATCCTCAGACAATTCTTTGCTCTTCCTTCTTTTCTCCATGCTCAGCGTCAACCACATGACAAAGGTTGAGTCAACTTTTCTCCATTTTAACTGGCTGCAAATGTGATTTCTATATTACCAGCACTTGTTGGTTGCTACAGGTGAGTTTCATTGCAAATTAAAGGAGCACACAGAACTTGTATCAGATTTGGCTTTTTCCTCAGCTTTTTTGTGTTGTTCCAACAACCTTCTGAGAGAAGTGGTGTGTTATCTGACAGAAATGCAGAGGTGCCAATATTTCTGGCTATGAATGTAAATGTCATATTCATAAATATGATGGGATCCACATATAATCCATGTATGAATGTTGTCATTTTTACAGCACCTTTTTTTTGTTTACAAATATAACCTTTTTAGTTACCTTAGTTATATGCCCATAAAACCTACGCAAAAGTAAGTTAGTTTTCTTAAATTTGCAATGTCACACTCACTATCAGTTGTGTTCTTGCAGTGTAAGATGCTTTGTAAATAAGTGTTAGTTTAACTTTAAGTGAGATTCCTATGACTGATTCTGAGATTACACTAAATAGGAGCCCTGGTGTCAGTATGATCACTGGTGACGAACCAAGATCTAAAGTAGCATGAACTAAGCATTCTGTCTGCAGAAAGCTCGACTGTCTCGTCGACTTTTTTTCCAGTCACCTCCTAAAATGGCCAAGTTAGCAAACATTTGTGTTGCGTGAAACTGTGGCTCAAGACCAACATGTATGGTTTCATAGAGCAGCTTTAAAACTTCATGCCAAATAATTCAATCACCTTATTGTCAAGGGTAAAAAGGAAAAAATCGTTCTCCCTTTTGTCAGCCTCAGCATCTGTGATGATCTCTCCGACATATCTGTGGAAGCAACAAAGGGAAAGAACTCAGCACAGTGTCTGTTCAATATTTCATGCTGTAGAACACTGATTTCAGTGGTTTCTCATAAGAGAGCCTGTCCTTACTCGCAAATGAATGTTCCTTGAGGGATATCCTGCAAGGCCCTCACTCCCCAGCCCATCTTCTGTGTCCTGAAGAGCTGCAGCCGGACTCTGAAACAAACAACAAGGCAATTGTCTCATTCAGCAGCACACTTCAGAGGAGCATTAAAACAAGATTACAGAGATTTTATTGAAGAAAACTGTTTCAAGAGAGAAAAACTACTTAATCCTTTTCCTGGAAAAGAAAACCGATTTAGCTCTCAGTGGCCTGATATAATATCACTACAAAGCACGTAATTTAGGCTGCCATTAAAAGATGTTTTTTATATGTTACACTTTGCAACACTCAGCGATGCACCCCTGCATGCTTCAGGTGCACACAGTCAGAGGGATTAAGTTTTTTGGTTTGAGCGGAGAAGGAAAGACACACAAAGAACTTTGGTACTGCTAGCTGTACTGAAAATGGCAAATAAGCAAGAGTGAAACTGTAAATTGGTCTGGGCCTATTTTGATTTGACACAACAGGAAGAATGACAGGAACATGTGCCAAACATGCCAGGCTAAGACAGAGACCATGAAGCAAGACTACAATTCCTTCGAACATTTAAAAACAAAAAGCCCAGCATAACTAAACCCATAGGGATCATCCGTTTTGATAATTAAATGTTCTGTTGTAGTGAAACATGGCATTATTTCGTGTACGTAGCCCACAGTCAAGGCAAGTCCACGGACACTGCAAAGCCCATCTGTAAGAGAGGTTTCAAATCTACACAAACTAAGGGAGAACAACACATCCAACTTGGCAAAGCGCCTCACCAAAAAAGCAATTAGCAGCATAGATTAATTTTATTGTGCATTAAAATAATAAAGATAAATGGCTAACTAAGTCTGGCACTTCATGGTGATGAAGCTCAAGCCAAGGATTAGACTGCACACTACAGTAATGTGCTACATGAGGCTGAATACACCATGGTGGAGGTCTGCACTCTACTGAGCACATTTTCTAGTTTTATATTTAGTCAAATTAGTTTTAAAAATGACAGTTAATAAGAGCAGGCTCTCTCAAAATTAAGTTACATTAAGCTGAAAATTGAATTATTAAGGTATAAGCAGCAGTGACACGTGAAGGTGAAGAGATGTGCGACTGCTGATTTTAATTAGTTCTTCCAGTCCTGGTTGGATATTGAAGTGTATGAACGCACCATTATAAAAATAATACAACTGTTTTCACATCTTCCACTCCCTTACCCTGGCAGTGTCAAAACATATATATAGTCTCTATATTATTCAGGCTTTGTCAGAATTCTTAGTTTTAATTAAGCTCATGTTCTGCCGTTTGTTATTCTATTATTTTTCCTAATGTTTTAGGTTTTTGTCGTGGTATCGTTTCAGTATCGAGATATTAAAGGCAGGTATCATATCAAAGTCATAATTTTGGTCTTGTGGCGATGCTATTCCCTAATTGTTCTGCCTTACTGGCAGCCATGTCCTGTGTATGCACACTGTCACCTGATGCATGCTGTCACCTCCTTGCTCCCTTGAGAGGAGCCATCTTTTTCTGTTTCTTTTCTGGTAGTGACCCTCAACAGAGCCAGTTAGCTTTACTGTCTGTTATATTTCATTTGCAGCTCAGTGAGCAACAGACAGGAATCAGTGATGTGACACACAGGGCACTGGAGTAAGAGCTAATCAGTTTATTTATCAGGATGCAACAACTATTGTGTGGTTGTCACTAACTTTTGCAACAACAACAAAAACATAGTAATAACCTCAGGGTGACAACAAAACAACACAGACTTCAATATGTGGTTACTGTTTCCTAAAAGTAAACCAACATTTACAAACCAGGTGCGAAAATAAAAGTCCACCCTTCCTACTTCCACAATCATTGACAGTATTCTGCAGCCAGGTCTTCCTAATCAAATTCACAGGATTAGTCACTCATTAAGAAAGGTGACTGTCTCAATAAAAGCAGAAATTTTGGCAGTTTGGTGGAGTATTGAGGTGTGTGCCTACATCATGTCAAGAAAAAAGGACATTAGCCATCCATCCATCCATCCATCCATCCATTTTCCTCCGCTTATCCGGGACCGGGTCGCGGGGGCAGCAGTCTAAGTAAAGATGCCCAGACTTCCCTCTCTCCAGACACTTCCTCCAGCTCCTCCGGAGGAATG